GTTGTGAACCAACCATTTCTGTTGTCCTACAAGGAGTGAAGATACTTTACGAGTTTCCTGCCTCCTTGGAGCTCTGAGCCCTCTGCAGGAGGGCAGTGAAATTCTGCAGCTCATCATCATTACTGGTCTTGAACAGGCGGGTTTCTGTTGTGAATTTACTGTCCTTAACAGCAATACTAATTTATGACACAATGCCTTACTCCAGCACTGTTAAAATCAAGAAATTTTGCTTCAATTTGAGCACACAGATGCTGTTTTCAGGCAATGTGCCTCATCCACATTTCCAGGTCCAAGAGGTTTTCCGCTTGCCCTGTGCTTTCTAGGCAAGGGTCTGACCAGGTTTTGCCTTTGCCTTGCTGCTTTCCCCTGGGAAACCTGCTCTTCAGTGCTAAATCAGAACAAAGAGCAATCCGCAGAAAACCTGATTGCCATTTGTTCCGATTCAGCACTAAAACGCAAGTTTTCCCAGGGGAAAGCGGCAGGGCAAAAGGATGAGCCTGCAGTCACTACATCAAATTCTCCTGCAGGAGTCTGGGTCATAGCACAAATACAAATTAAGAGGAATACGATCCAAGACAGTTTCCTCAAAGCTGGGGCCTTGCAGGTGTTTTGGATTCCTGACAATTAATCGTGCTGGTTGGGACTAGTCCAGAACATATGGAGGACAAGTGTTTGCTTAGATTCCACCAGGATATGCGTTCGCTTTGGATCCTTCTAGAGAGTTTTGTAACTGATAAACAGTCCCTGATTTACCTCAGCTTGGAGCACCTCTAGTATTTAGCTGTAGATTCTGCCAGTCGGCATAACTGCAGATCCCCAGGGAGGGCATTATTTTTCCGTTGCCTCTCTACTTGACTGGATATTCTCTGTCGCGTTTATTGAAAATGCCTTTGTGCATAGAGTTCCTGGTGTCTTTCCCAAGAGCTTTGCTTTCTGCATAAAACATGCCATTGTCAAGCTACAGAGGCCTGCACAGTTCACTGCAGCCAGCAGGGGCCATTGATTCCTGCATTTATTTCCTCTGTATGCAAAAACCTATTTCTCATACAGCTTGTCATGGAGAGATGGCATGTGTCACGGAGACGCTGTGCTAAGACTGTGGCAATGCATAACCATTGTACAGCCTTCTAAACAGGAGCAATATATTCAAAACACTCCTCGGACGACTTGTTTGTTTTATTTGATGCATCCTTATAATTGCCGAGAGTCGGGACTTCCGGGTTAGCGCCATCGCCGAATGGCGGACTCCCTCCGAGCTCCGGAGGGAGTCTGCTCGGCAGGGGCTGGGTCCTACCGCGCCGGCGACGCGGGGACCCTTAAAAACCACGGGCACGGAGTCCGTGGACATGGGTGACTCGGCTTGCACCATTAGCGCCCTCCCGACTCGTGAAGGAGCCTTTTTAAAGGCTTCGGATCGGAGTGCCGGGAGTGGCGTGGTGCTTGAGTCCACTGCTTTCCCTGCCGAGCGCAGCCGCATGCCATTCGACGGAGAGCGCTGACTTCTTCTATTGAAAATTTGGACTATTAACAACAACCCGTGAGTAATTAGGAAACCGGGTTCAAAATTTTGGATTTGGCACGAGCGGGGGCGATTTAAACAGGAAGTCAATCCCCCCCCCCTATTGTAAGCATTCCAAAACAAGGACTGGGTAACCAAGGTCCAAAGGGAAGTATGTCTCTGATAAAAATCATTAATTTCACGATGGGAAATTATAAGAAATGTGCTGGAGGAGAAGAGTGGAGGGTGAGAAGAAAAATGCACCCCCCCCCCCTGGGAACCGGGGCGATTCGTGGAGCCTGGTGAAGAGAGACGGAGACTTTGACAGCTGTCAAAGTGGCTGTCAAAGCTGGAGAATATAAAGAGGACTTTATGAGGACCTTGCTGGTTAATTTTGTTACAATTTGTTATAATATGGATATAAACTGTTGGAAAATAAGCAACAATTTGACTTTTGGATTAGAGGATACAAAGTTATTACAAACCCCTAGAGGGGTTTCGGGATACTACAAGGACGGTCGTAAGTGGAAAAATACCCTGGGATTCGCACAGGATTTGTTATCTTCTGGGAAAGCTGCAAAACTGAAAGAGTATTTTGTCTACAGAGGAAGACAATGGAATTTTTATTGAAGAAAGAAAGGGACTGGACGTAAGTTTTGTTCCTGAATAACAAACCTCTGCAGAGACACTAGATTTCTGAATTAGAAAGTTTTAGCAGCTGAACAGGACAAGAAACCTGAGAAAGTGAGGAATAAGAAGAATAAAGGACTGATTACGACACGGAAAGAACAACGGGAGGAGTGGTAAAGATCAAGGAAATTAAAGGCCTTTGTTAGATTGGACATTTGAAGTCAAATATTATTTAAATTAATAAACTAAAGAAAACCGGCAAGATGGAATTGGGGAGAAATCTGGTCATGAAATGAGACTTCCAAGCTGATAATGTATAGACTGATGGACATGGGAATTCAAACCGGGGAAGGGGGAGATTTGAAATCCAAAGGCTGTGTAACCATTTTTGAATTTATCTATATCTCTTATTTTCTATTTCTTTACATAACTTACGCATGTTATTTTACTTTGATCGGACGTGTTTAAAAAAAGGGAATTTGTGGAAGGAACTGGGGTGGATCTTGGGGAAAATCTTTTTCTTTTTCTGTTAATGATGTGGGACGGTGGTAAGATTTGTACAATTCAATCTGGATAGTGGGTTAAACAAATTAAGCTTTAAATTGGGAGTGAGAGCTTGTAGAACCAAATTAAGGAAAGGGGAATACAATTGGGGGAGGGGAGTCCCAGAAAGTAGGGAATGAAAGTAAGGTTTTTAAATATCTTCTTTCTTTTGTCTTTTTTCTTTGTATTTTTATTTTTTTGGAAACTTTAATAAATATGATTTAAAAAAAAAAATATATAATTGCCGAGAGTCGGCAGTCACGGAAACAACGCATCAGAGGATACAAAATTGCTCTTCTATCAAAGTAAAGATAAAAACGAAACTGATAAAACCTACATAGTGGAAATGATAAATTCCCTTTTTTCACTTTGACACAGAAGTCGTTTCAACATACTTCCCTACCCTCAACCCACCCCGCTAGTTTACTGGCATTTAGGAGATGGAAAACAACTGAGAGAAACGAATCATTAATATGGTGGCACATCCAGATTAGACTACTGTGATGTGTTCTGCATGAGGCTGCCCTTGAAAGCTGCATAGAAACATCAACTAATGCAAAATGCAATAGCTAGAATTCTGTCAGGAGCCCACCTTATCTGCATCGATTTCATTGGCATCCAGTTTGTTTCTGGACCCAGTTGAAAGGGCTATTTTTGATACTTGAAGCCCTAAATAAGACCACACCCACACTTTACGTTTAAAGTACTATTATACCACTTTAAACAGATTTGCCTTCCCCCAAAGTATTATGGGAACTGTGGCTTGTAAAGTGTGCTGAGAACTGTTAGGAAACCCCTAGTCCCCTCAGAGAAACTCTCAGTGGGACTGTTGGACCACTGTAGGAACTATAGCTGTGTAAGCCCCTAACAACTCTCAGCTTAACAAACTACAGTTCCCAGAATTCTTTGGGGAAAGTTATGACTACCTCACTAATTCTAGAGTCTTCCCATCAGGTACACACATCTGTTCATCTGTCCCTCTGCATTCTACTCCTACCCTTAGGTTATTGGTTCCATTTATGAACTGCACTTACTGTCAAGAAGTACATGTTATTTCTTTTCTTAAACAAAGGAAATAATTCATTTCAAAATCCTCGAAAAGAAATAAACATAGAGGATGTTAAAACAACAACAACAACAACAACAACAACAACAACAACAACAACAACACTAGTGTGGCTTAGAGAATATATGTGTTCGTTGATGGAGAGCTATCACAATATTTGTGATAATTACTATTATTATTATCATCATCATCATCATCACCTTGCTTGTGTTCAACAACATTAGGTGAAGCAGGCCTCAGTCCTGTGAGAGGGTTGCATTTCCAGCTTTTCTGTTCTGTGTGACAGTTACAATTTCCCTCTGTTGGCCTCCCCTGTAACCCTGACAAGTAAGAAGACCTCTTTCTCCTTGACGCTTCAAAGCTTTCAGTGGTAATGTAAAGATCAAGAGCGACTTTGACAAAGGGAGTATAACATATTTTAAAGCCAAACGGTTCCTCTAAGAAATATTAGCGGCAGGTGACTTCAGTAGGTGCCACAATTCTCAGTTCTCTTCTCAAAGGAAGGCAGGAAGGTGGTTTATACTAAGACAGACCACCAGTCCAACTAGCTCAGAATTGTCCCAGGAGAAACCAATGTGGTGCCCTCCAGACATTTTTGAACTACAGCTTCCATCAACCCCTGCCAGCACAGACAATGTTCAGGGATCATGGGAGTTGTAGTCCAGCAATATCTAGAGGGGACCATGCTGACTACCCATGTTGGCTTGCAGATCTCCAGGGTTTCAGTCTTTCAGAGACTAACCTTGTGATGCTGGGGATTATTCATAGCAGATTGTTCTACTATGGAGCTATGGGCCTTAATGCAGAAAAAATCTCAATTGTATAGCACTTTGAATGCGCAAAGACTTCCTTCAGTCAGGTGGGTACATAGAGTACCATTTTTCTTTTCTTTTCCCTCTGGTCATGGCATGTTATAATCAGAACGGGCAGTCCTTTTCACTGGTTTGAGAAATATTCCTTACCTTGGAGAGCTGTTGGTGGTCAACAGCTGTAGAGCTTAATCGTAGCCTGGATTCCCTAGTGATCAACTCTGCATCAATGCTAAGCTCTCAAATGCAAGACCCACACATCCTACATGAACTTGGGCCATTTGATCTACATCTGCTGAGACGGTGGGCATTGCTCTTGAGCATGGACAGGGTGCCCTTCCTCTGCCTGCTCCAGAACTGTGTCACATGTGATGTGTTAAGCCAAACACAGTTCCAGTGATGCAGGATGGATCGGCAGAGCCAGAAAAACACTGTAGCTTTTGCCACCATTCTGGGATAGCTCAGTTGGTAGAGCATGAGACTTTCAATCTCAGGGTTGTGGGTTCCCGCCCCATGTTGGGCAAAATATTCCTGCATTGACTAGATGATCCTTGTGGTCCCTTCTAACTCTGCAATTCTAAGATTTTAGGGTGGGGTGAAAACATTGCATGAAAAGAGCTGTACACCAAGCCTTTCAGATCCCAGCTATTGAGCAGTAGCTGGAGACTGGGAAATCAGAGAAACAAGGGTGCAATTGAGCTAAGATGGTGATGGTGATACCACATTTCATGGAGAATAAGAATATCAATAGCTATTAGCCATGATGGATATTCTCCACCTCCATGGTTGGAGGCAGTAATACTTCTGAATACCAATAGTTTGAAAGCACAGAATGGGAGATTGCTCATGTGCTCAAGTTCTATGTGAAAAACAGAAAGCGAAACATTTGTTTTCTCATGGCAACCAGCAGAGAAAACGAACTTATTCTAAATCCAATCTGCCACGAGAATCGGAAGGTTTAATTTAAAAGCTCTGGTGTTATGATACCAAAATGAAATCCTGTAAAAATTAAAATCATTCTGTCAATGAATTCCCCTTTGTGGTCTGGCTGGCAAGTTTCTAATATAACGGAGAGCAGAATATTTACTTGAAAGGATCTATGATGTGCTTTCTATAACAAAACCTACCATATACTAAGAAAACAAAGGGAATCGGTTTAATTTTCTTTCGCTGCAACTTCCACAGTCAAAAGAAAAGATTAATTATAGCCACCTTTAAGATGCACAAGTCCAATTTCAACAGAATACTTTCACTCTGCATGTTTGCAAGTGACTAAAATATCAGTACCCAAAGGGTAACCTGACAAAGGAAATCTTGATTCCATTTTCTATATATCCCATAAATTGATTTTCTGCCATCTGATAAACTACCCAAAGAGCTAGACCATACAATGATATTCAGAAATACTGTGAAGAAGAAGAGGAGGAGGAGGAGTTTGAATTTGATATCCCGCTTTATCGCTACCTGAAGGAGTCTCAAAGTGGCTAACATTCTCCTTTCCCTTCCTCCCCCACCACAAACACTCTGTGAGGTGAGTGGGGCTGAGAGACTTCAGAGAAGTGTGACTAGCCCAAGGTCACCCAGCAGCTGCATGTGGAGGAGCGGAGACGCGAACCCGGTTCACCAGATTACGAGTCTATCGCTCTTAACCACTACACCACACTGGCACTACACCACACTGGTTCCATAAGAGGAACTGGAATTCTCCAGATGTTGGACACCAACTCCCATCAGCCCCAGCCAGCATGGCCAAAGGGATGATGGGAGTTGTAGTCCAGCAACATCCAGATATAAATATAGGTGAACTGGAAGTGGTGCAGTATGATCGTGACTGGTCATGTGGGACCTCCCTGCTGATGGGGAAAGGAGAGAATCTGTTAGGGAAGGGTGATTGGGCAGTGGGCACAGCAGCTACATACTCAAGAATCAAGCCAATACTTAGCTTTATCACAGTGAGGGAGTGATGATACAGGAGCCCTCAGGAGTACCAGCAGGAACCTTCTTTCCAGGTTAAACAACCCAGTGAGGAAGCAGAAAAAGTAAAGTAAACCTGGAACTAAAGGAAGCAAGAGGGAGGGAACAGAAGGAAGCCCAGGCAGGTGAATGGTTTGCAGAACTGAGTCCCCTCAAGGATCAACAGAGTCACCATTCTCCTACAATAGAGGGCTCTGAAGGTACTCTTAGGTTTGGGACCAATGAGGAGAGAGGTCTTTATAACCAACTTAACTGACAAGCACATAAATGGAAAGGCCAAACGAGAGAGAAAACTCCAAAATCCACAGTTGTGCCTTTGCCTTTCTTAGGTCAGCCAAAATGTCACAAAACAATAAGCAAGCTTTTGAACTCCCCAGAGCTTTTTATTGGGCAAGATGGCACACAAAGCAGGGTTTGGTGTAGAGGCATGAGAGAGAGTAGAAACAAAGAAAGTACAAAGATGAGGCTGGATGTTGAACTCATGGGGTCTGCATTTACAACTCTGTTCCCAGATGTAGACTGTAGACTGAATTAGGTGCTGTAGGTACCGTATTTTTCGTCCCATAGGACGCTCCATCCCATAGGACGCACCTAGTTTTTTGGGGGGGAAATAAAGGGAAAAAATTTTTCCTTTGTTTCCCCCAAAAAAAAAACCAGGTCGGGGAAAACGAACCAGGTCGGGGAACAGCGGGATGGCGGCGCTGCGCCTCCCTGCTGTCCCCCGAGCTTGTGGGGCTGGCCGATGTCTGCCTGGTGCGCAGGGCACTCTGCTTCAGGGCACCCTTCACGCCGGATGGCAGGCTGCTATCCGCAGTGAGGGGAGCCCTGCGGGGAACTCCTGCAGGGCTGCCTAGGCTGCGGATGTGTTCCCGAAGCGCCGGGCGCTCTGCTTTCAGCGCGCCCGACGCCCCGGGAAGCAGGCTGCTATCTGCAGCCTAGGCAGCCTTGCAGGAACTCCTGCAGGGCTGCCTAGGCTGCGGATGTCTTCCTGAAGCCCGGAGAGCGAGAGGGGTCGGTGCGCACCGGCCCCTCTCGCTCTCCAAGCTCAGCGAGCCTGCATTCGCCCCATAGGACGCACCCAGATTTCCCCTTCATGTTTGGAGGGGAAAAAGTGCGTCCTATAGGGCGAAAAATACGGTATTAGGATTCTGGAGGAAGGAAGGAATGGCTAATCCCCATTTTTGAAAACATAAAGCTATTTTTCAGTGATATGTTTCATTTGACCCTGCATATGTTCAGGACCTACTTTGAGTCCAAACACACATTTGGAGACCCATTTCTTTTTATATAAAAAATCACAGTATATTTATATTTATATGGTGGTAGTAATCCACTGTGGATCAGCCTGCAACCCAGAAATGGGGCTCTGTCCAGCAGCTGAAGACCAATGTGTACTCACAGACAACCCTGTGCTAGAAGAGAAGACATTAGATTCTGGTTAATGAGAATGAACTGGTTAATTTCCACGATTAAAAAAACTTAATAGCATTGTAAGACTGGGAATTGGTCAGTGTTAATGCTTAAAGGGCTACTTAACAGTTGCTCAAACCTGGTCTGGTGAGGCACATCCTTTTGTGAGGTAAATCGCAGGCGACATGTTGCCACGGGAACCAAACTCTTTAACAATTGCTTCTTGATACAGAAACGTTTGGGGAACGTTGTGCATAGGAAAAAGTGATCAGAGACTGCAGTTAAGAGACTGAGTCCCTCCCAGCTAAATAAAGCAAGCCAGATCTATGTTTGTGAGGAGAGACTGCACTTTGAGTTAGAGATAACGAAAGGCACCGGGTACCAAGTTTTAGACTAGCAGTGTTTGGTGAGGGGCAGGGTGCCAGGTACAGGGACGCAGGTGGCACTGTGGTCTAAACCACTGAACCTCTTGGGCTTGCCGATCAAAAGGTTGGCGGTTCAAATCCCCGTGACAGGGTGAGCTCCCATTGGTTGGTCCCAGCTCCTGCCAACCTAGCTGTTTGAAAGCATGCCAAAAAGTGCAAGTAGATAAATAGGTACCGCTCCGGAGGGAAGGTAAATTGTGTTTCTGTGCACTGCTCTGGTTTCGGTGCTCCGTTGCGCCAGAAGTGGCTTTGTCATGCTGGCCACATGACCCAGAAATGATCTGCAGACAAACACTGGCTCCCTCGGCCTGTAAAGTGAGATGAGCACCGCAACCCCAGAGTCGTCTGCGACTGGACTTAACTGTCAGGGGTCCTTTACCTTTTAGGGTGCCAGCTATTTCCCTGGATACCTTCTGTGGTGGAAGCCATGAACTTTGGCTATCTGTTGCATTGCCTCCACCTGTTGCCAACCTGTATAATTGTAAATGTACACAAATACAGTGGTACCTCGGGTTACAGACACTTCAGGTTACACGCTTCAGGTTACAGACTCCGCTAACCCAGAAATAGTACCTCGGTTTAAGAACTTTGCTTCAGGATGAGAACAGAAATCGTGCAGCGGCGGTGCGGCGGCAGCAGGAGGCCCCATTAGCTAAAATGGTACCTCAGTGGTTAAGAACAGTTTCAGGTTAAGAACGGACCTCCAGAATGAATTAAGTTCTTAACCTGAGGTACCACTGTATGGTAAAATACCAATGTCTCCAGTGACCTCCTTCTGAAGAAGACCAAAGTTGGGTGAGTGCAGCAGCCCTGGAACTTCTTGAGGCTCAGAGTTTTGGGGTGAGCCTGAGAACATTTTTAGCTCTGGGCAACAGAAAACAGTGGTGCTGTTGACTGATGTCATCTTATAAGATTTGCTTGTTGAGCAATCAAAGACCAATTGCTTTTTAGCAAGCCAGGGGATGTGATGTATTCCCCTCCCCTTTGCAGGGTAGCGGCCGTCATTTCTCAACATACAAAAGAGCAGCTTATTGTGCAAGGGAGTTGGGCGGGGGATCTTCCATACCAAACTCTGTCAGACTGTCACTGACTTGTTTCTGTCCCACGAACACATCAAGGATGAATTATTTTTAAAAAATTTTAAAAAATGCAAGAAAGGAAGGGAAAAAATGTTAAACAGAAAGGAAGCGGTGTTGACCTAGAATTTTCAATAGGCTATTGTCAAGTGAAAACACCACCAGCAAAATGTACCATTCTACTTCTTGTAGCAGCATTATAGATGTGGACTATTTCTTCCCTTTTATGGCTGCTTTACTCATGCGGCTAAATGACAGATTTGGCGCACAGAGTAGAATTGCCTCCAGTTTTATTGCTTTGATGTGTATGTATTTCAGCAAACACTACTAGAATGACCTTGCAAAAACAGCCAGTGACAACTAGCCTGTTTACCTGATAATAAAACTCAGGGACTCTACTGAAAATCAGTGGAGGCTGCCCACCCGAAACCTGCCCCCCTCCCCCACAAACTAACCAGTGGTGTGCTAACCAGTGCTATTTTTCTGGGGGGACCCCTCAACATTTTGTAAATCCAATGGGAGAAGAAACTAAAAAAAAATTAGTTTCTTCTCCAGCACAGTGAATCATCAGTTCCATTGAATAGCACAGTGAATTATCAATTTCGTTGCTACCCCCTTTTGTCCATTTACAGTGGACGCTCGGGTTGCGAACGTGATCCGTGTGGGAGGCACGTTCGCAACCCACAGCATTTGCAACCCGCAGTGCCACGTCTGTGCATGCGCGGGTTGCAATTCGGCACTTCTGCGCATGCGCAAAGCACAATTTAGCACTTCTGTTCATGCGCGACCACTGCAACCCGGAAGTAACCCGTTCTGGTACTTCTGGGTTCTGGCACATCCGTAACCCAAAAAAAGCAACCTGAAGCGTCTGTAACCCAAGGTATGTCTGTACTGTATTTATTTTTCTCAATTTGAACTATAAAATGGTGATTTTCTTGAGTCAAAATGAGAGTACCCCTAAACATATTTTTTTTTAGAAAAAAAAGCACTGATGCTAACAGGTGTCCAAGAGCTACACTCACCAGAGCAGACTGAGTGGCAAACCCAGACTTGCATCTGCAGAATGTGTGAGATAGTTCACTGTATTATTCATTGCATCATCATCACAATAATAATTTATTTATTATGCCCCACCCATCTGGCTGAGTTGCCCCAGCCACTCTGGGAGGCACTAGGAGCAGGATTTTACTCTTTCAGAACCACGCACATCTTCCTAGATATTTTGCTTTCTGTTCACCAGAGGAAAGCCGCAGGAGCCAACATGCAGTTTGGCACTATTTTATTATCAGAGAATCTAGTCCCCGTATTTATCATCACCATGCTCTGCAGCAGAACCAGCTGTCCCGAAAGGGTGAGTCACGCACGAGTTAAGAGGTGGCTTTTCCACAGGCATGCCGACAAGGAAAGGAAGCTACCAGATTCCTCACAGCAGTGAATCGCAAGGCAAGGATGCCATCTGCAGGCAACACGTCTAGCAATGGCATGCCTGGAAGGCAGAGCAAACAGAGCACTGGAGCGACATGTGACGGTGTGTTACATATGCTTGTGGAGAGTTTATTAAAAATAAACACTTACAAAAGGTGGGGGGGACTCAGAATGACTTGCGAGAAGAATCGAAGACTAGAGCCCCTAATATACTAGAACTTTGGAAGGAGCAACCGAGAGTGGATTGTTGTAATTATGGCGCTGTGTTCTGCATGTATCTTTTATGAGGGAACTTGTGTGTGTGCTTGCGTGCAGACTTCAGAGGCTAGCAATGCATTCCATTTCCTCTGCCGCTTGATTTAACGTAATGCAATGCCCAATGGCATTTATTAAAACCAGAAAAGCGGGGAAGCTATTAGGAGTAACCCCCAGCTGGAATGTATATTCAGCCTTGCCCGCAACAGGGCTGCGCTCTACATATCAGGCATAAATGAGAAACATCGTTCGTATGGATTTTGCATACGGGCAGGCGATACAGATACCGCACAATTTCAGAGCGCAGGCGTACAAAGTGAAGGTGAGAAAGAGATCGATTTGCTCTGTCTCGTCTTGGAAACAACCCACAGGACTTCTGTGGTCAAGCCGTCTTTGGCACGAATTAAAAAGTAACGAGTCTTCTCGGATAGCTCAGTTGGTTAGAGTGTTGTGCTTACAATGCCAAGGTTGCAGGTTCGACTCCCATATGGGACAACTGCATTGCAGGGAGTTGGACTAGATCAGTGGTTTGGGGGGGGTCATGCCCCATCTTGAGAGCCAGTGTGGTGTAGTGGTTAAGAGCGGTGGACTCGTAATCTGGTGAACCAGGTTTGATTCCCTGCTCCTCCACATGCAGCTGCTGGGTGACCTTGGGCTAGTCACACTTCTCTGAAGTCTCTCAGCCTCACTCACCTCAGAGTGTTTGTTGTGGGGGGAGGAAGGGAAAGGAGAATGTTAGCCGCTTTGAGACTCCTTAGGGTAGTGATAAAGCGGGATATCAAATCCAAACTCTTCTTCCAAACTCTAAGCACCTCTAAAATCCTGATGCCCCCTCCTGTGACATATAATTCTTATTATTCTTATTATTCAAAAAGTGAACGATTCACGTGGAGTAAGCCTAAAAGGCCATTCACTGTTAATAACTCATTCTCAAATTTCCCCCTTAAAAATCAAAATGTCCCCCAGTGGGGCGTGTGCCCCATATTAGGAAGCATGGGACGAGGTGATCATCAGGGTCCCTTCCAACTCTATGATTTTATGAGATATCCTGTTCTATGAGGGGTGGGGGGCAACTGCTCAGGAGTTTTCAAAGAACTTAAAATGCAGTTTTCCAGCCAAGTAATGTGTAGAAAACTGCACACACTGGGGTAAAGTCAGTGCCATTTATCTACAAAAGGAGGTGCCAGAACTCACCACAAACGCCTCCCTTGTTCTCTTATAATGGCAATGGTGCCCACCTGAGAGGTGCTGGAACTGAGTTTTTGCTGGGGGTGGGAGTGAGCCCTATAAAATGCTTAATCTACAAAATGCATTATATTAGGAAAAATTTGTTTGCAAAAAGTATATACTACAGAAAGTTGGGTACAAAAATGTGTAAATTAGGAGAAATCTGCACTAATATGCTGCACATATGTGTGTGCAGAGGGAGGAATATTCGTTCCATTTCAGAGTTCTTATGAGCAATGGAATGGATGGCTGGAACATTTTTTTTAAATGGTAGCATTTTTATTATGTGAGTGTAGCTCTTTACAAAGGAAGCTTTGGGAAGCAGTTACATCCCCTCTCTTATCTGAAGCCATTTACCACACATTTAACTCCTTATACCACATGGTACCATTTTGACCTCCAATTTATCCCTACAGCCTTTTTTGCCTGGTGGTTGTAACAAGCCGAGTTGCTATTTCATTCTCTCTTAACTTCTCCCCACCAGAATGATTAAAGCAAACTTGCTGCTTCACCTTCATCTGTTTCCTCATTTTATTATTTGGATTGTGGGGTTCCATTTCTTTGGTTTTTCTGCAGTGTGGGGAAAAAATCAAATTCCTTCAATTGTTCATTGTTTAATTGCTGAGAATAACTTTTGCGTGTGTCTGTGACTGTTCAATTAGCAAACAGAACAGAGTGGCACAGTGGCATCACTGGAATATAAAACTCAGGAGTCCTTAAGGACTTCGTTCTGGCTTACAATATTGATGGGTGATTTTGTCTGCTGGGCATGTTTGCTATAATTTTATGTTTCTTTTGAGTTTTCTTCTGCTGAAACTTGCTATGTCTATGAAGAGGAGGGTTTGGGGGGGCTGCACCACTGATTACTTCGATTATAATATTGAAGCCCAAAATGCACACATTGGGGAGGTTATTTTGCCCAATTTTCTCCAGAGGAGGACTGAAGTTCTCCAAGTTCAGGAGGAGGGTTAAAAAGAACCATTCAAAAAATAGACTTTCCTGAGAAATTTCAGCTCAGACCTACCTAGTCGTTGCTGTTTTTCTATGTCTTTGCTGATTTTTCTTGTGGTTTATTAGCAGACTTTGACTGAGCCTGCTTAAGAACGAAGATAGCCCTATAATTTAAAGGGGAGATATAATCTTTTCATGTGGGAGCCGTGGTTCGTCTCCTGGACAGCACTTATCCAGAGAGATTGGAGGTGGTCTCCTTCACAGCAGCAGAGGGATACTTTCCAAACACAGCCAACAATCTGATGAGTGCCACAACTGTGAATGTAAATGGATTAAAATTTGATGGAGGAAGATGATGGTGGGGAACGCATTGTCAGGGCGACAGGCTGAAGCACACATCTTCCTCTGGTTTGAAAATTCTAGTTACAGGTAGGTAGCCGTGTTGGTCTGCCGTAGTCGAAACAAAATAAAAAAGATCCTTCCAGTGGCACCTTAGAGACCAACTAAGTTTGTTATTGGTATCTGAAGAAGTGTGCATGCACACGAAAGCTCATACCAACAACAAACTTAGTTGGTCTCTAAGGTGCTACTGGAAGGATTTTTTAAATTTTGGTTTGGTTTGAAAATGAGAGTGTCATGTGATCTGAGGGTGGGAGCAGTGGGGAGGGGGGACAGCCAAAACTCAGGGGAAGGTCCCATCGATCGGTGATTGAGCATCTGCTCTACATACAGAAAATCCTAGGTTCAATACCCAGGTAAGCCGCTTTCAGACAGTGTAGACAATACTGAGCTGGATGGACCAATGCTTTTGACAAGGCATAAAGTCCCTCCTTATGTCCCTATGTATATCCATCTGCCCTTTGCTACCTCAGAGACCTAACTCATAGAATCACAGAATTGTAGAGTTGGAAGGGACCAGTGGGGTTATCTTAGTCCAACCCCCTGAAATGCAGGAATCTTTTGCCCAACATGGATCTTGAACCAACCATCCTGAGATTAAGAGTCTTAGGCTCGAATGACTGAAGTACTCAAGAGGAATTGAACAGTTGTTGAGTCTCGAATCCGGTGAGCTTCCCAGAGCATTGCCATGAAGGATTGGAAGCACAGAAGTTCAACACCCAGGGAACACAGCAAGAAAAGTTTTATGTGGCTTTTAATGAGATGAGACATTTGTTTGTGGTTTTAGTACCTGCTGTCAGTTGTGGAATGGGTTTTTTTAGTTGGCACATGAAGAAAGATAATAAACCTCACAGATCCTCATTAACCCTTCCTTTTGGAATTGGGCATAAAACTGCATACTTGGGACTTTGAAAGGGGTTTGCTTCTTATACACAGGCACCCTGATCTAGCAAGGGAGAGAGATACAGATATATGAATGCAGTCGCTTTTGCATGCCCCACTAAAGTGGATACCAATTAGGATGCTCATTCCCATCCATGCCTAACCCTTACTGAACTGTCTGAGTGGCACGAAGGAAGATGTGCATCTGTCAGGAGTGAGCCAGCAGTAAACCACACCAAGCACGTTTGAGTTAACTCTTCACTAGCAAAAAAAAGGATCTGAACAGGAGTGCGAGGCCTAATGAGCAGAGCAACTTATTTCCAGCAGGTCTTGCTGCCGTGAAGCAGTTTCTGAGACTGAAGGTCCCCACCTCCCCACAGATGCCTAAGTCCCTTCCTCTTCAAGGGTTTTCCCCCAAGCAATCAGAGACTGCGCCTGCTTCTCCTCTGCCCTCTTCATGCCTCTCCTGGTCCTGTGAGACTGAGGAGGAGGGAGCTTACCTGGGAGATACCTGTGCCTCTTTACTAGTCAGACTAATCTCTGCTTCTTGGCCATGTTTAAGGGTGTGCACCCAATATAGGGGAGGCTGAACAATTGCAAACAAGAACTGAGCAGGAAAAGCAAACAGTCTCTCATTCACTGTGGATTTTTGAGGGCATATATTTACTGAACATCACCTTGCCAACAAAGGCCCTTATAGTTAAAGCTATGGTTTTCCCAGTAGTAGTGTATGGAAGTGAGAGCTGGACCATAAAGAAGGCTGATCGCCAAAGAATTGATGCATTTGAATTATGGTGCTGGAGGAGACTCTTGAGAGTCCCATGTACTGCAAGAAGATCAAACCTATCCATTCTGAAGGAAATCAGCCCTGAGTGCTCACTGGAAGGACAGATCCTGAAGCTGAGGCTCCAATACTTTGGCCACCTCATGAGAAGAGAAGACTCCCTGGAAAAGACCCTGATGTTGGGAAAGATGGAGGGCACAAGGAGAAGGGGATGACAGAGGATGAGATGGTTGGACAGTGCTCTTGAAGCTACCAGCATGAGTTTGACCAAACTGCGGGAGGCAGGGGAAGACAGGGGTGCCTGGCGTGCTCTGGTCTATGGGGTCACGAAGAGTCTGACATGACTAAACGACTAAACAACAACAACAACATTTATTGAAATCTTCTGTGGACACCATAGGAGGTACAGACAGGCACATGGGTAACCGCTGAGCTAAGGCATCATACGACTCAATAGAAGAGTTTGCTGGAAAAAATAAACACACCCCATTCCAAAAAGTGATGTAGCTGTAGAGAAACAGCAAATCCCCTAATTAATATGGAGCTCCAAACACTTAAAAAGCTGTATTATCGTATGAGCTTTTAATGACATCATCCTGACATGAAAATTAATATAACATGAAGTATCATCTCAGGATAATGTTCCCACCAAAAAAGCAGCCTGTAAAACAAGACACAGAGATGGCTCTGGAACCAAGCTTGGCCTGCATCTCAAGTAGATATTTCCTTTCACTTAACTTTGGGAAGGTAGCCTAGAACCAATGACAGATGGGCATCCTAAGTGCTGGGCTTGGCCTGAGTGGATAGTGAAAGACACAGAAACCTTCTGCTGTCCAAAGGAGGAAAGAGATTTAAACACCTGTTTCAAATTACCCAGATATTATAAACATTTTTGGTAATTGCAAAGCCCTACGGTTTGAGAAAGTGAAAGCTGCAGCTGCCAGCTCAGGGAAATTGGATAGGCAGGAGAGAGAATGCTATTCTTTGCCACTGCAAACCACTGATAAGAAGACCAAAGAGTTCGAAGTTAATGCCCCCACCCCAGACTGTGTGTTTTTTTAGCAGGTATATTCTGCAACATGTCACTGATGCAATAATAATATATTTGTGGTTTTGATTTATATCGGACCATCCACACTCTATTAATTGTTCTGCAACGCTTCCCTAATAGCATCAAATTACTGCCATCTAGCTCTTGAACTACAGTGCAACAAAAATGGAGCCAAAAACCCCACTTCCAAGAATATTTCAAATATTATATTTGCCATATTTCAGAAGGTGAATATCGGGACACAAACGTTGTTGGCAGAGTTGTTGAGTTTTTTGCCATACTTTCAGATTTTCCCAGACATTCCTGCCCATTTCCTCCTGGACATTTCTTCTGACTGCCACATTCCGGCTATGCCCGGAAAATTCCAGACGTATGACAACCCTAGCTAAAAGTTACAGGAGTTCAGCAGGAAATTATGGGAAATGCACTGGCTAGAAGCAAAGCTGTATGTCTGCCCCAAAACCTTTCCGGGGGGGGGGACAATATGAAAAGCAGAATCACGTATTATCCAACCATCCCAGTAATATCACAAGCTCAATTCATCATGAATGCAAAATAAAAAGGTCTAAAGTAAAGGAAACACCTTTAGAGATGAAGTACGGTAAGTGCATAAATCAGAGCTGCACTTTTCTTAAACAGTCACAATACTTTCATATCAGAGGGTGTTGTTTACCCATTCAGTTGCTTGACCTAGGAAAGCGAGAAAGTGAAGCTATTCAAGCATTGTGAGCAAGAGTAACATAAGATGCATTTGGCAGACAGCTTTCAGCTTCCATTTATCACAAAAAAAATGATCAGTGACCAGGTCTCTCATGCCCAAGAGAACCAGCTACACAGCATGTACACAGATGTGCACTATTGACATCAGTCTGAAGGCGGAAGCCATGTTCACAGCTGGTGCTCCAGATAATCAAGGAATTAAGCATGCAGAAGACTTGGACTCCACCTCCCATTGGATGACAATGTAACAGATGTTTCAGGAAAGTTTACGAGTGAGACTTAAGGATCATAGTATCCACCTGTTGTTTGTACCTCCTACCTGTGCCCTTTAAATGCAACATACAGCTGCATATTCCTGGACTAGATGATTCTTAGGGTCCCTTCCGCTTCGACGATTCTATAGTTCTATCCCTGTTTGAGTCACACAGAACTGAAGGGCACTCATTCAGTTTAGTAGAAAGGGGTAGGTGCAAACCCTGATTCAAGGCACTGAAATGACAATTCCCAGAGTGGTTTAACAATAAATCCCTCTTCCCATGGACCTCTGGGAACTGATGAGGGGACTAGAGGTCTCCTAACAATTCTCAGCACCCATTACAAACTACACTTCCCAGGATTCACTGTGGGAAGCTGTGACTGTTTAAAGAGGTATGATGATGCTTTCGATGCAGATGAGGCCATCAGCGCTCTCGCCCAATTCCTCAGTTGAACATCGGCTTCCTTCAAATGAAATGCTGACAGATTATCAAGGAGGGCTAGAGGCTCCATAATATCCAGTACTTAACCTGAAAGGATCACTTGCCCCTGGAAATGTGCCAAGTACCTATTTGCATATCTCAGGTCGAAGAGCCTAGAAAGAATTAAGCAAGGATGCATTTTGCTGTGCTGCCGAATTCAGAGGCAGCGGCTGCACATCTGTGAGGCTTTTAGGGGTGTTTAAGAGTAATGATTTAGGCTAATGCAGGACAGCAAAGGGGGAGGCAGCAGCTCTCAGTGTTTTCCTTTAGCAGCAAACTCACACTGCAAGAGGAGTGTTGAAAACAGCTTGTCTTGCATGTTTTGATAATGTCTTTTTATGAGCCAACAGTGTTGTATTCGGCTCACAGCAAACCACACACCAAACACAGCAGAGAGAAGAGAAGACTTGAAGTTTCTTGGTTTTTATTATTATTATCTTTCTTTTAGTTTTGCATACACAAATCTATGATGATAGCTTTGAAACTGAAGTGAGATTTTCTTCTCGTCTTTAAATACAATGTATCTCCAAGAGAAAAACCCCTCACAAATTTACGTCTGATATCAAATTCTAATGACCTGGCGAAAGTTACGTTTTGTGCTGTTCAACTCGGACTAACGCACAACCATCTTAGCAGGGGTGGGGGCTATGAAAACTGAGACATACTTTTGCACAAGATAATTTGGTGACGCGCCAGTGGGACTTGGCTCTTTGAAAAGCCTCAAACTTTGTCATGACTGATTCACTGTCCTGTTGTTTTTAATGAGTATTATAATACATTACTGTAATGACCTTTAGTTAATTGAAAAATAAATGGCGATTGGGGAGAGATACAGCATTATCCATCTTGGGAGGAAGCCAGGATTTATCCACCTCCCATCATGCCCACTACTCCCTCCAGACCCAAACCCTTTCTGCTAGATTATTTTCAACATCCTTCTAGCCCAGGCACAAGGAACTTCCGACCCAGGGTTCAAATATGGCCCTCCAAGCCTCTCTATTGACCCTTGGGACTCTCCCCAGA